TGGATGTTTTCTCACCGAACGGATCTCTCTACTGGTGCTGGAGGAGGCCGTCGTGGACATCATCCTGGGACGCCCCTGGCTCGCCAAACATCAACTCACCATCGCCTGGAAGTCCGGAGAAATACTCAAGTGGAGTGTGGAGTGTAAACAGGAGTGCCTCCGGGATCTTCCTATCCCGATCTCTGTCGGGAACGACCTCCCTGTCTGTTCCACCTCGGTGGAAAGCCCAGATTCATCGCCTGTCGCTCCTCCTCCTCCCGAATATCAGGCATTCCAGGACGTGTTTAGCAAGCTCGCTGCCACTCACCTGCCACCTCACTGGCCATGGGACTGTGCCATTGACCTGCTGCCTGGGGCCCAATTATCCAAAGGACACGTCTATCCACTGTCGATCCCGGAGAGAGCCGCTATGGAGGTGTAAGTTCAGGAAGCCTTGCAACAGGGGTTCATCCGTCCGTCCACCTTACCCACAGCGTCGAGCTTCTTCGTGGCCAAGAAAGATGGGGGTCTGAGACCTTGCATTGATTACCGGGCCCTCGATGACCAGACGGTGAAGTTCGCCTATCCCCTTCCTCTGGTCCCTGCGGCCTTGGAGGAGCTCCGCGGGGCCCGCGTCTTCAGCAAGCTGGATCTAAGGAGCGCCTATAACCTCATCCGTGTTCGCAGGGGTGACGAATGGAAAACTGCCTTTGTAACGCCCACCGGGCACTATGAGTACCGGGTCATGCCCTATGGGCTTTCCAACTCACCCTCCATATTCCAAAACTTCATGAATGAGATCTTCAGAGACATGCTCAACCGGTTCTTCCTCGTCTACATAGACGACATACTCATTTACTCAACCACTCTCGAAGCACACCGTAACCATGTCACCCAAGTACTCCAACACCACCTGTATCTCAAGGCAGAGAAATGTGAGTTTCACCAATCCACCGTTCACTTCCTGGGCTACATCGTCACCCCTGCAGGGGTGCAAATGGACCAGAGGAAGGTGGATGCCCTTCGGAACTGGCCCCAACTGACTACCATCAAGGAGATGCAGAGATTCTTGGGGTTTGCAAATTTTTATCGCTCACTTCAGCCAGTTGGCGGCACCACTTACCTCTCTCCTCTGTCGGAAGGCCAAACTCCTCACCTGGACCCCGGAGGCACACCAGGCCTTCAGTCAGCTTAAGTCTGCCTTCTGTACGGCTCCGGCCCTTTCACACCCAGACCCCATTCTCCGCTTCGTGGTCGAGGTGGACGCAGTGACCCTGGGAGTGGGTGCCGTCCTGTCACAATGGCGAGGTGAACCCCCCCGTGCTCCATCCATGTGCGTATTTCTCACAGAAATTATCCCCGGCGGAGCAGAACTACGACGTGGGAAATCGGGAGTTGCTGGCCATCAAGCTCGCTCTGGAAGAGTGGCGGCATTGGTTGGAGGGTGCCAAGCATCCATTTGAGGTGATCACAGACCACAAGAACTTACAATACCTCCAAGAGGCCAAACGTCTTAACCCAAGGCAGGCCCGCTGGGCTCTGTTCTTTACCCGCTTCCACTTTGGGGTCACTTACCGTCCAGGGACTAAGAATGTCCAAGCGGACTTGCTTTCCCACCAACACCAGCCAGATCCTACCCCCGAAGAACCCCGTCTTCATGTCTCCTATTCAGTGGGCACTCACCGACCAGATCTGTGCCGCCACTCTCGCCGAACCCGCTCCGCCGGGAGGTCCAGAGGGGAAGAACTATGTCCCATCCACCCTGCGTATAACCCTTCTGGACTCCATTCACACCTCTCCGGGATCGGGACACCCAGGCAGCCGCCGAACCCTCTCGCTCCTCCAGAACCGCTACTGGTGGCCCCACATGGCCCGAGATGTCGCCCGGTATATCAAGGGATGTTCGGTCTGTGCCATCTCCACCACGCCACGTCGTCTGCCGGAAGGGAAACTGATTCCGCTACCCATCCCTCGCCGACCCTGGTCCCATCTGGGTGTAGACTTTGCCACTGACTTGCCTCCCTCGAACGGATTCACGACCATCCTAGTAGTCGTCGACCGGTTCTCCAAATCCCGCAAATTAATTCCCCTGTGTGGATTACCTACTGCCCTGGAAACCGCCGAAGCCCTCTTCCAGCACGTATTC